CCCACCTTTTCCAGTTTGGACTCCAAGGTGCAGATGTAGAGCCAGAGCAGAGCCTGTGCCCGGTCATCGAGAAGCTGGTCCCGGTTCTGGGCACTCCTGGGCACCAATTCCAGCAGCCTCAAGGCTTCACAGACCGAGTCCAGGGAGGAGCTGCCGGGAAGAGGGATTAGAAATAGCCTTCTGTCCCCAAAGGCCCTGGAGCATTTTAAGGGGAGGGACAAACACACCCCAGGACCCCAAATAGAGTAAACACCCAGAGCAATAACACTCCAGATCCTTAAAACTCCCCCTGAGGGCCCTCAAATGCTCCTTGGGAACTTTCAAGGACACAAGGGAGGTGGTCCCAGAGCTCCAGCGTCCACTCACCAGTCCGTCTGCTGGCTGTAGCTGTGGTAGGCCAAGACCTGGGGCAGTCTGCTGCCTGTAGCTGTGGTAGCACAAGACTTGGGCCAGCTCCGTCAAGGTGATAGCTCGCTCGTGCAAGCGGCCGCTTTCCTCCGAGCAGATCTCCAGCAGGTCACAGAGGACGTTGTAGCGTTCTTGCCCCGTGTCGGTTCGGACAGTCTTGTAGGCCTTCAACTCCGCAAAGAGAACAGTCACCAAGGTCTCCGTGTCCAGGCTGTGCCCCTCCAAGCCTTCCTTCAGGGTCCTGGGGGAAACAGGAGCTGTAGTGGGGCTCTGCGCATAGCGCAGCAGAGCCAGGCACATCTCACAGGGAGAAACATCATTTTACCAGCTTGGGAACCGCACTTCTCAAGACATCCACTCCCCCACGCACCAGGCAGCCTTCCAGGTCTTACCGTAACCGTAATTCCTCGGCTCCCTGTTTCGCAGCATCCGTTTTGACTCTGACCCAGAGGGAGACGGGCTCTGCCAGCAGCTCCCCAATCCGGCCCCGCAGCGCAGCCAGCCACTGCACCACACACTCCAGGGCTCTCTCCAGCTGCCCCAGCTTGCGATAGCTTTCCACCTGCAGCCTGAAGCATTTGTGCAGCTGCGGGGAGAGAGCACAGAGAATCGGCTTCAGCATCCCTGTGAGAGCAAACTCCCTGCTCTCCCATGACCCGTACCACAGCCCTCTTCCCCGCCTGGGTGAAGGGAAGACCTCGGAGCAAAGGAATTGGGGTTGTTCCAGGAGCAAAAGTTGGTCCCGTCCTCTCCTTTGCTCCCCTGGCACCAGGACCAGGGTTCAGTTCAGCCCCGTTTCTGCCTGAAGCATCAAGACAAGCGCTTACCCTCTCCGGGGGTATCTCTGGACACGCGTAGGGATCTGCTGTCTGCAGCCTCTTGCACAACAGCTCACAGACTGAGCTGGCTTCCTCGTGAAGGTTCTGGTTGTAGAAGATGTAAGCCAGCTTGAACGCGCATGACACTGCCGTAGACAAAACCCAAATATTAAAGATGTGATGGGGAGAGAACAACCCCTCTCACCCCTCTCTCCTTGTCCAGCCAGGGCCTGTCACCCTCCACCCTGGCCCCACCAACCACGTACTTTGCGTGGTGGAGAACCCCCTCATTGCTCCCTCCCCAAGTACGCAGAGACTGAGCTCTGTGACCACGTTTGACCCAAGCCGGGGCTGAGGAGCCAGGTTTGGTCCTGCCCACCGCACTACTGACCGGTGATGTCAAGGTACTTGGCTCGCTCGCTCTCGGGGAGCCCCTCCAGCGCCTCCAGCATCCACGTCACACTCCTCCGGCAGCCCACCGTCAGCTGCTCCAGACCTGGCCAGCCTGCCACCTGCAATGACTGTGAGGAGTGGGTGGCCAGCAAAAGGTCGCTGGGGACCCACAGTCCCCCCAGAACTCCCCACGGGCAGCTTGAGCAGCCCCTTCCAACCCCACCAGCCTCTGAAGGGAGAAGCTACCCAGCACAACAAGGGTCTCTCCCTCCCCCAGTACCAGGGTCCGTCCCCTCCGCTGCCAGTACCTGAGAGCACTGAAAGGCATCGTAGGCCACGCTGGCAAAGAGCTGGAGGCTGCGGTAGAGCAGCTGTTTCACCATGAGCTTCGGTTTGACACCGTCGGGAGGAACCTGCGGAGGGGAGGGAAGGAGAAAAGTGGTGTTTGTGGGGCCCAGGCAGCATCAGGTGCTGCTGCTCAGGACGGGGACACTGGAGAGGGACACTCTGCTGATGGATTAAGGGGAGCTTCGAGCCCGGAGCAGGGTTACGAATTCTGCAGCTCCTCACGGAGGCTCTGATTGACCACGCTACGTGTTCACTCCATTCCCAGCCCCAGCCTTACCCGCTCCAGCAGCTGACGGAGGACACGGCAGTGCCCCTTGGTGAAGGCCCAGAGGCCGAGCACGTCCTCCCTGCCGAAGGGTTGCTGCTTGCTCCTCTTCATGTACTCGCCGAGGGAGGAGACGATGAACTGGCAGCTCTCAGCCAGCACCCTGAGGAACTGCTCTGAGGCCCTCGCCGCTGCACCGAGAGCCGCTGCCGCCTGGGAGAAGAGTGGCCCTGCAGGGCAAGCGCTCTTGGCCAGCACCTGGCTTAGCTGAACCCCGACTTCCAGAAGGGCCAGGGGGTCACCAAAAGATTTTGCAGAGCTGCCGGTGGCTCCCAGGAAGACCCTCGCGTCCTTTACGGCCTCCTCAGCCTCTCTATACTGGCCGCTCTTGCAAAGGTGCTGACACTGCTCCAGAGTGAGCTCGAAAAAGCAGAGGGATTGCTGGAGGGTGGGCGGCTCCATCGCCTCCTTTCGCAGAGCTGCGAGCAAGCAATCCCCGAGCTGTCGGCCGA